TCTTGTAAGTCGTAGCGGAACGGCTATGTCGGGCTTGGTGTCGATTGCAGCCGGGAGCGAAGGTGCCACAACGGCCGTCACTGTGTCCAAATGCGACATGTCCATGTCTGAGGACGTTTCCAGCTTGTTTCGAAGCGACTGTGGCGTGCTGCACAGATCAAGGCTTCTGGGGGTATTTCATGCCGGCGGTGTCCTGTCAGACTCAACTGTACCATCCCAGGGCGTTGCGACCGTGCGACGAGTGTTTGCCCCGAAAGTGAGCAACATCTGGTCGTGGAGCCGGTTGGCAAGCCTTCAGCCGTGCACACACCAAGTCCTGATATCTTCAGTAGCATCTTTGCTGGGATCTCCGGGACAAGCCAATTACAGTGGTGCCAATTCAGTCCTTGACGCAGTAGCTCATTGGAGTCAAAGTGCTGGGACGATTTGTTCGAGCGTTCAATTTGGAGCGTGGTCAGGTCCAGGAATGGCGGCGCACGATCGAATGACGGCTTCACGACTTGAGCGAATGGGGATGTACCTGCTGGATCCGATTCAAGCTCTGGAGGGAATGTCCAACGTTTTGGCTCTCACACAATCACTATGTCGCACACAATGTACGGCTTCATGTTGTGCGATAGCCACAATTCAATGGAGCAAGTTCACGGACAGTGTGGCGTCAAGGAGCGGGCAAGTTCCCAAGATGTTTGAAAACTTTGTTGAAGAAATGTCGGCAACAGCCTCAGAACAGAACATTCAAACAAGGGAGGAGAACGGGGGAAAGAAAAACATTGTTTTGGAATCAGTGGCAAAAGCTGTCAGGGACATCGTTGGAGGTCCTATTGGAGAGGACGAGCCGCTCATGGCGTCGGGCATCGACTCACTGGGATCTGTCGAGCTTCAAAGCAACCTGGAGTCTTTCACGGGCCTCCAGCTTCCAAGCACATTGATCTTCGATTACCCCACCATACATGCACTTTCCGACTACATTTCAAAACAGCTTCACGCCGACGCACCGCTCCAGGGCGCCTCGGTAGACGATGTGGGTTCATTGAGAAAGCACACTCCGCCAGCGGAGTCTGCGACGATTGCAATTGAGCAGTTTGTCAGCCGCGTGCCTGAGAATGCCCTCGACAAACTGGAAACTCAGGACCCAGTGGGCACCACTCCACTGCAGCGCTGGGATGTCGACGGCGAATCGGGGTTTGTGCGCGCCGGGCGCTTCGGCGCCTTTCTGCCGGACGTCGCAAATTTCGACGCGGAATGTTTCGGCGTCTCCAGCGCGGAGGCGTCCGTCATGGACCCCCAGCAGCGGCTGCTTTTGGAGCTCGTCGGAAGCGCTTTCCGCGGCTCGATGGATCCCTCCACGGGCTCCACGGAAGCGAACTGCGGAGTGTACGTCGGCATAGCGTCGTCCGACTACGGCAGCCTCGTCAAGTCCGCCGGGCTCACGGGTGCCTTCCACGCCTCGGCAAACGCCGTCAGCGTCGCCTCCGGCCGCCTCTCCTACACATTTGGCCTCCGGGGACCCTGCATGAGCGTGGACACCGCCTGCTCGGCCTCGCTGGTGGCAGTCCACCTCGCGCGCCAGGCGCTCACCGAGGGCGGCGTCAAGACGGCGGTTGCCAGCGGGGTGCATCTGCAGTGCGCTCGGACGTCCACGAGCTACGTCTGGAACGCGGGGATGCTGTCGCCGGCCGGGAGGTGCAAGACCCTGGACGCGGAGGCCGATGGCTATGTGCGAGGCGAGGGTGGCATCGCTGCGGTTTTGACGGCCAAGCGCCGGGACCAAGCTCTGCGGCCGGGCGGTTGCGCTGCGGTTCTGCTGGCGGGCTCAGCAGTGAATCAGGACGGCAGGTCCTCCGCGCTCACCGCGCCAAATGGGCCTTCTCAGCAGGCCGTCGCGGCGACTGCACTGGAATCGTGCGGCATGCACGGGTCGGAACTTCGGCTGCTCTCCCTGCACGGGACGGGGACCAGTCTGGGGGACCCCATAGAACTGAATGCCATCGCCTCGGGGCTCGTCAGCAAGCACGCAGACAGGGCGCCACTTACTCTCCTGGCGAGCAAGTCGTGGATCGGCCACTTGGAGCCCGGCGCCGGAGTGGCGGGCTTGCTTCACGGACACCTTTCGGCTGCCCACTCCGCCACGCTGGGGATCGCGCATTTGAGATGCGTCAACCCGCACGTGAACAGTGTGGTCGACATGCTGGGAAAGGGGGGCGAGCTGCTGCGATTCTCAAGGAGCCACGGCGCGCTGCCACGCAGCAGCAATGGCACAGCCGCAGGCACGAGCGCGTTTGCTTTCATGGGCACCAATGCACACGTCATCACCCACACCACATTTGGGAGTGGCTGTTCGGGTCGCCAGAGACATGCGTTGTGGGGCAAGAGATTCTACTGGGCATCAGTTCAGTTTCACCCTTTCATAAGGAGCGCTCATACGCTGAAAAGGAAGTCGGTTTCGCTGGAGGTCCGCTTGGAAGCGCCCAGGCTCTCGCACATATTCGACCACAGGGTCATGGGGAGAGTCATATTTCCCGGAGCTGGATATGTGGAAATGGCAGCAGCTTCAGCCAGGCTTCAAGTGCTGGCACCCGAGAATCGCCTCACCCTTGTTTCCATGACTATATCATCGCCGTTCGTCTTGTCTGATGCTGCGACTCCCACGGACAGAGCTGCACCTGTCCTGAACTGTGAAGTCGGCCTTGGGGATGGATCCATCGAGGTCAAATCCACGAAAGGGAACAGCACGTACAACAAGCACATGGAATGCACAGTAATGAAGTGCGCGGAAATTGAGGACGGCAGTGCGAAAGTCAGGAATACGGCTAATGCCGATCCAATTAGGGTCACAATCAGATTCAAAATACTTGAAAATTGTGAAAGACGCTATCGAGCCGCAGTTGCAATGGTCCGCAATTCTGACGATTCGCATGACGGTTGGTGGATTTCCCCCGGGGTTTTGGACAGTTCCCTCCAGCTGGGACAGACATTTATCGAGGATACGAACATCCACGTGCCATACTGTGCGCAGGCACTGCAAATTGCCCATCGAATGGGTGCTGAAGTGTGGGCGCGATGCATGCCAAGAGCGGCGGGACCCGGGGAATCAAGCATGATAAGTGATTTCGTTTTGATCAGCGCAGAAGGCTGCGCAGTGGGATCAGTCAAAGGGCTTGTGGCCAAACCGATTGGATCTGAGCGGTCACCAAACTTGCAGGCGGAAACAGCGGATTGCAAAGACTGTCTTTACGGCATCTCGTGGCAGGCTTCGTCAACCCTGAGCAAACAACGAGAAGCTGACACCACCACTTCCCTCTCTCTTGCACCCTCCTCTTCCTTATCCACCTGCATAGCAGGGATGGGTGCCATGCAAAGCTTGATGAAACGGAGCACAGTGAGCGCAAAGGCATCCTTGCCGTTTCATATTCCCACCAACTGCAAGGCATTGCATAGCGTGGGTTCAAGGAACTCAAGCGTTCTCTGGGGTCTTCTTCGAACATCAAATCAGGAATCTGGTCCCGTGTCTTGCCTTGGCGTGGATGCGCACACACCGGTGGGCCCCTTAATATCAGCCCAGCCATGCCCTTGTCTTGGTGTCGCCGGTGTCGATAAAATGAGCACGGACGTTTTCGGAGCAGCTCCGCAATCAGGTGCATACTTCGAACCTGTGCTGCTTCCCAACGTTTGTCAGCAGGTGCCAGCTCCTTACCACTTAGTCCCACGGCCTAGAGGCGGACTGGAAAACCTTGTCCCCGATTGCGTTTCTGCGGCGGAAATCGGAGCAGAGGAGGTGCTGGTCGAAGTCAAGGCGGTGGGGATCAATTTCAGAGACGTGCTTAATGTACTAGGGATGTACCCAGGAAATCCGGGACCACCGGGAGGCGACTGCGCTGGTGTCGTTGTCCAGCACGGAACGCAGGCCCCAGGAATCCGCGCTGGTGGTGCCGTCTTCGGCCTTGCATTCGGTTGCCTAGGATCCCATGTGGTGGCCAAGGCCGCCACCATGGTGCCCATGCCGTCATCCGCGACATTCGAAGAGGCATCCACGATGCCGACAGTGTTTGTGACGGTGGACGTCGCGCTGGAGCAACTCGTCGGAATGACGAGCGACGACAGGGTGATGGTGCACGCGGCGGCCGGAGGCGTCGGGCTGGCAGCGGTTCAGCTGATCCAAGGCAGGGGCGCAACGGCTCTGACAACTGCCGGGCACGGCAGGAAGAGATGGCTGCTGAGGCGGCTGGGGGTGTCGAGCATTTTCGATTCGAGATCGCTGTGCTTTGCGGATGATGTGGCAACAATTGGAGGTGCCGATGCCATTTTGAACTCGTTGACTTCAGCGGGTTTTGTTGCAGCGTCCCTGTCTTCTCTGAAAAAAGGTGGACGGTTCGTGGACATATCAAAGAGAGGAATTTGGAGCCCTGCTTCCATAAGCGCCATGCGCCCAGACATATCTTTCAGCTTCCTTGCGGTGGATTTTATGAATGACGCGATGCTGAATGGAAGCCTTACACGGCTATCGCAGGGGCTGGGAAAGGGATTTCTTAAACCTCTTTCTAACATCATCCACGACTTGAATTCGGTTCAGTGCGCCCTGAGGCAGTTGTCCCTCGCCAGGCACATCGGCAAGGTGGTGGTCTCCAACACAGATTCAGATCCAGTGAAAGCAACGAAGCTTGGATCGGTCGTCATTACTGGAGGCACAGGTGCCTTGGGAACGTTGGTGGCCTTATGGATTTCACAAAAGCAGTACAATCACGTGCGCCTTTTTGGGCGCTCCGGGCGACTGACGCAGTCGTGCGCAAAATTGTTCCATCCGCAATCAGCTTCATTTAGCGCACTGCTGGAGATATCCAAGTGCGATGCCTCACAAAGAGAGTGTATCAACGCTGCCCTCGCGGATCCGTCTGCCCCAGCCACAAGGTTGATCATGCACGCGAGCGGCGTGCTTGCTGACTCAGCTCTATTCAATCAAACCCCGAAGGGAATCAGATGCGTGCACGCCCCGAAACTCACAGGAATGGAAAATCTCCATGGGCACTTCGCCCGCGCATCGGGAGCGCAAATGGTGCTGTTTTCGTCCGTGGCCTCTCTACTGGGGTCGCCTGGACAATCGAACTACGGCGCTGCCAACGCGGGTCTCGACGATGCAGCCGAGTCCATGCAATCGAGCGGCTTGCCCGTTGTCAGCGCGCAGTTCGGACCGTGGAAAGGGGCGGGCATGGCGACGGCCACCGCCAAGAAGATGGAAGCCAGGGGGGTGGGAGCGCTCACTCCCGAAATGGGCCTGTACGCTCTGGCCAGCATCCTCGATGGCTACCATCGGCCATCATTTGGGCCGCGTTCGGGGATCGTTACAGCAACGCCATTCGACTGGGACGCCTTCCTTCCGCAGATGCCCACCGTCCCTGGCCTGTTTTCGCACTTCTCTTCACGAGGGGCTGAGCCATGGGGCGAGCCAACAGTCCGCAAGGACATGACAGAAGTAATGGATGTCGTGGGAAGCATGACACCAAAAGACAGGCAGGAATTTTTCGTCCGCGAGGTGGAGCAAGTGGTTCGGTCCATAATGGGTTCAGACGTCCGGGGCGACCAGCCCCTCATGGCGGCGGGCCTGGATTCACTGGGCGCCGTGGAGCTGCGCAACTCGTTGGAGACGAGGATGGGCACTGAGCTTTCCAGTACCCTGGTGTTCGATTATCCGACGCCTGAGGCCATCGTGGGCCATCTGTGCGATATATTCACCCCGACGATGGCGCGTTCGCTTCCGGCAGCGCGACAGATGGTGCCCCACCTTTCATCGGGGAAGACTGGCATTCTGGGGATTAGCGCGGTGGCGCAGAAATTTCCGCACGGAGCTTTGGAACAAGGCTGCTTTACGGATGCCGTCGACGTCGTTCCTTTGAGCAGGTGGTTTTTCCTTTCGCTGCTAGTAAAACCGTGCTACATGGCCCCATGGGTATCTCCTTCAATTTACGGTTGTGGCGAAAATAGTAGCACAAACTTGTGGGGAAACTACGTTTGTTAATTTGAGTAATTCGGTAGAGATACCATAAGCATCAATGCATTCCATCACACTGTTCAACATGGAGCAAACAGACAGAAGGTATCAGTACAATCAAAACTTATGGCGCATTCATGCAATGTTATCGCAACCTATGGAAGCGCGACAAAAGGAGACAAGACATACCGGATAGAGAAAAGAAAAACATTGAAGATTTGAGTATTTTTATATATATATATATATATATATATATATATATATATATATATATATATATATATATATATATATATATTATGGGTACGGCATATATATATACATGTAAGAATTTGAGCAGTTATAATTCGTAACAAGGCGACATGTCGCAAATGACATGGTTGCCTGAGGTGACCCTTGAAGTGATAGGTAGGTTGCGTTCACGGCAGGTGGGATGCGGATCTCGTCCTCACGGAAGATGCCCCCGCGCGTTTCGGCTCATTCCTGGACAGTCCCTACGATTTCGACGCAACTGCCTTCGGCGTCTCTTGCAACGAGGCTGTGATGATTGACCCTCAGCAGCGATTACTTTTGGAGTGCGTCAGCGAGGCCGTCAGGAGCTCCCGCTCCGCCGATGCTCTGCAGGACGTGGCTGGAGTAGGAGTGTTCTTGGGAATATCCACGCCAGATTACTCCGACCTGAAGAAGAAACACGCTCCAATAGGGGTGTACAGTGCCACAGGTATGATGGTGCATGGCACTGTTGGCATGTGTCCAGAACATCCGACTGAGGCAACATGGTTCTGGTACCATTCTGTGCATGGTGAACTGCTGATGCGCGATTCCATTACCCCATTTTCAATAACGAAATATGTCAAATGAGATGCTCAAGACTGCTTGCGCAGAATCAGTTGTTGTGATAAATCAAGATAGATTGGATGTCAACAGTGTTGTCGCGCAACGCAATGCTGCTTACTTATCTGTTTGGACTTCTAACTTGTTCAATGTAGAAAGTTACAATTTGAATGCCAGTAATTTAGTCACTTTCTGTATCCTTCCACAAATGTGAAGCTCAAGTTCCACTTACCAAATTGCAGTAATTAGTAAAGTAGTATAGAGTTGTAACATCGATGTGAGGGCAGCATGGAAACATTGCACTCAATTAGTTCTTCCGGATATCCGAGGCAATGTTGCTATGATATTCATTGCGTTGCCGGAAATCTGAACCATACCCACATTTATTTCACTTTGATATTGAGTAGAAATCTAAAATTTTATGGGGATAGTATGCAGCACATCAATGGAACGCAAAAGTGTGGTGCATTCTATCCTCCCACTTTTCCCTTGATAAACCTCATTCTTTGGGAATGCTATGTATCAGGCTTGTTATTTACGTGTACGTTTACGTTTTCAAATTTCCGTTTTTACAAGTAAAAACGCAAATTTTGCAAAAGGGGCTATTTTTACGGCTGTATTGGCGTTATTGCGGCATGCTGTGGCGCCGAGATAGAACGATAAAAATCCCGCACAATGATCAGTCCTCCACCTCTTCGAGCACCCGCAACACAGCGCCCACTTCGCACTCGGTAAGGGCCACGATGGCGTGGAACACATTTCGTTTTCTGTCCGTTACAGCGCGTCTGGCTGCTACTCCCCGACACCTGAAGGCTGTATGTACTGTCCTTATGTACAAGGGGCTGTATTTACGTTGTATTTACGTATTTTTACGCGTCTTTTACGCGCAAAACCGTAAAAGCTATGTTTACGCGTAAAAGCGATCTGTGTTTACGGCGTAAATAACAAGCCTGCTATGTATGTCGGTGCACACATGAGTCTTCATGGACATGAATTTTTGTTTCTACTCTATTCGCGAATGTACGCGATTCCCATTCTTCTAAGATGAAACAACCTGGCACTCATCGTGAAATAACTAAACATTTAATTTTCGAAAAGAACGCGGTTTTGAAGAATTGACGTGGGGAATGGCATTTCGCGACGCGTCTCGTGTTCCCCATGCAGGTTCCGCCTTGAGCGTGGCCGCGGGCCGCGTCTCCTACGTCCTCGGAATGAAGGGGCCGGCGGTGAGCATCGACACGGCCTGCTCCTCCTCGTTAGTGTCGTCGCACATGGCCAGACTGGACATGATGCAGGGGTCGTGCACGGCCAGCGTCGCCAGCGGCGTGAAGCTCATCCTGACTCCGGACACGACGGCCATGTTCAATCGAGCCGGAATGCTGACTGTGGATGGGCGGTGCAAGACCCTGGACGCAAGGGCGGACGGATACGTGAGGGGAGAGGCCGTGGCCTGCATGGTGCTGCATTTGGTGGACCGCCCACCGGAGTGGGTTTGCGCATACCTTGTCGGATCAGCGGTTAACCAGGATGGAAGATCGAGCACTCTCACGGCTCCTGTCGGCCCCGCCCAGAAGGCCGTTCTTAGACAGGCACTGAGCTCAGGTGGAATCTCCCCCGAATCGGTCACAGCCTTACACACGCACGGGACTGGGACTGCGCTTGGAGATCCAATCGAAGTTGGTGCCGCCATGTCCCTGCTCGTGCCCACATCTGCGGGCAGGCACACCCCGTTGGCATTCGCGGCCGGCAAGACGAGCCTGGGGCACACCGAACCTGCCGCTGGAGTTGTGGGACTCGTGCAGGCCATTTCGTCACTCGGCCAAAGGTTCACGCAGCCCGTTCTGCATCTGGGCTCAGCAAACCCACACATGCACGGAGTCCTGGCGTCAGCGGCAGGATCGATACTGATGCCCAGGGCGCCAGGTCCTGCAATACAGGATGCACCGACCGTATCCGTCTCTGCATTTGCCTTCCAAGGGACGAATGCAAACATTGCTCTTCAATCAGGGGAGGGCTGCACTTCGGAGATGGCGGTGCACTGGGACCGCTGCTTCCATTGTCTGCTGCCGCCGCCTTGTGCCTTCACAACAAGGGCATCGGTCCAGATGCGGAGCTTGGTGTTCGAATCGCGTCTGAACAGGGCGTCGCTGTGTGGACTTCTGCACCACAGGGTGAACGGACGTGGTATATTTCCTGGTGCCGGATACTTGGGATTTGCTGCGTCCTCGCTGGCCGCGGTTTTTGGCAAACCTGGGCACGGCGCATGTGTTACGAATGGAGTTGTGTCCGCCCCTCTGTTCCTCCAGATGAAAGACATGGATCAGAAAAGCATTCTGTGTACCGTGAACCTTGTCACCGGTGCGTTGGCCATAACGTCCATGCCAGGCAATGCCGGGCATTTCAAATGCTTTGCGTCAATACTGGGCGAGGAAGCAGCACCGTCTAATGCCCATGAAGGAACAGAAGATTCTGTTCGAGCCAGGTGCAGCTACCCCGTGGACTCTGCAAAACTGTATCGAGACCTTTCCTCAGCGGGGCTTCAATACGGTTCTGATTTTAGGCTGCTCTCCAACGTGATGGAGGACAGAAATCCAGGAAAACAGATTTCGACTGGAGCAGTGTCGTCCAAGCGTGATATGGACGGCCACGTTATTGCCCCGTCCGTGTTGGACAATTGCCTGCAGCTCGGTGCATTGGTGGACGCTCCCAGCGGGCCATCACAAGTGACGTACGTGCCTGTCTCCGTGTCAATTTGCCTCCTGCGGGCATCCCCTCGCAAACAACGGTGTTTTGCAGTTGCCAGAAAGTCGGGAGAGACGCCCGAGGGGAATTCCATTTTGCGCGACTTCATTATGGAAGAAGGCGGGGAGGAGATGTGCGTTATCAGATCACTGGAATCTAGAGCTGTAGCACGATCGGCTCAAATTCCCGGTGCACGGGAGCCACGACCTACATATCCGGACACTGTTTACAACTTGGGCTGGGCGGTTGCCGCTCCGCAAATCGAGGAACCACAGGACGCACCCCAGGGAAGTAGGACATTGGTGCCAAACTTCTCAAGTGCGCTTTCATGCACAGCGGCGCTATTGAGCATTGTGCAATGTCTGGAGGCGAAAAGGCCTTTGGGTCTCGGAATGGAACTCAAAGGAGTGGGTGCCTCAGCGCAGCCGCTGTCAGCTGTTTCAGCAGCGGTCTCAGGCTTCCTGAAATGCGCAATCAGAGAATCAGCTGGTATGGTTCTGCAGCAGACTACGCACAGTTGCTATGCGCCAAGGGCTGGAATTCTCCGGGGCATGCATTCCCGTGTGCTGGAAGGCGGTGCGCATAGAGAGTCTGATGGGTACGGGAATGTTCACGATGCAATGGGGATATGGGAACCCAGACTGCAGATCAGCGAAACTCTGCCTGTTCCGGCGCCGTATCGTCTGTTTCCAAAACCCCGGGGCGCTCTGAACAATCTCACTCCAGAGCCTGCGGCCCTGAAGCCAACAAATCGAGAAACGCTGGTCGTCAATGTCAAGGCTGTCGGGATCAATTTCCGGGACGTGCTGAATGTACTGGGAATGTATCCCGGCGACCCAGGGGCCCCAGGAGCCGATTGTTCCGGGGTGGTAGTCGGCGCTGATGGAACTGGGGCAATAGCTGCGGGGGATGCGGTGTTCGGAATGGCCGCTGGCAGCTTTGGATCTCACGTGAGGGCATGCCCTCACACGATGGCTCCAATGCCGCCCAATGTGACGTTTCAGGAAGCCGCCACCACGCCGACAGTTTTCGTCACCGTGGACACGGCGATCATGCGGTCTGCTGGCTGCGCCGCTGGGCACACCATCTTCGTACACGCGGCTGCCGGAGGAGTCGGTCTTGCTGCCATGCAACTGGCTCGCATTCACGGTGTCCGCGCTTTTGCCACCGCTGGCAGCCCGACCAAGCGAAACCTTTTGAGATCGTTTGGCGTGAGAAGCGCACTGAGTTCCAGAGACCTCCTTTTCGCGGAGCCAATTGCTCGCGGAACAGGATTTGACGCTGCACTCAACACGCTGACCTCCCCCGGTGTTGCCGCTGCGACGTTATCCGCGCTCACAATCGGTGGCCGATTCGTGGAGATTTCGAAAAGGGACATATGGAGCCACGCAAGGTTCGCGCAAGAGCGACTGGACGTATCGTACCACCTGGTGGCTGTCGATTTCATGCCGGAGGGCTTGCTGCACACCGCGCTGATGAGGGTCTCCAGGATGCTGGCTGAGGGCATATTATCGCCTCTCCAGCAGATAGCCTACGACATTGGGTCGGTCTCTTCGGCGCTGCGTCAGATGTCCCAAGCGCGGCATGTGGGCAAGATAGTGGCAAGGTCCCGCACAGAGAAGGAGAATGGACTGGGAGACGTGGGGATCTCGGTGGTAACGGGCGGCGCGGGTATGATAGGATCACTCGTCGCGAAGTGGCTGGCTAGGAAGGCTGTCAAGCAAATCATTCTGACGAGCAGGAGCGGGAAGATGACCTCCAGCGCAGCTGAGGTGCTCCAGAAAAGCAATGCGTCATACAGCAGCCTGGTGTCCATTGTCAGCAGCGACTTGTCATACTGCGAGGACTGGCTTGGAGTTGTGGACAACAACTTCGCGTCGCCCAGAAGATGCATAACTGCTTTGTTTCACGCGAGCGGCGTCCTGCGCGATGCCGCAATAGCAAACCAGAATGTCCAATCGATCAGGGTGGTGTTTGCTCCCAAAGTCGTGGGAACAAAGAACGTAGAAAGTGGAGGATGGCTGCAACCCACGGCCACGCATGTATTCTTCTCATCCGTAGCATCTCTCCTGGGTGCGCCGGGACAGACGAATTACGGCGGGGCGAACGCTTTCATGGACAGCACCGCGGAGAGGCTCGTGCATGCAGGCCTTGGCGCGCTGTCCATTCAGTGGGGCGCGTGGGCAGGCGCGGGAATGGGCAGCGAACACGCGATCACCAGGGAAAGAGTGGAGTCCGCGGGTATGGCTCTTTTGACAGAGGATGTGGGGATTGCAAGCTTGGAGGGCCTCCTTTCCAGCCAGTATCACAGGGCCGTGGCATCTGCGATTCCTTTCGACTGGAACAAATTCCTGAGCCGATTGGACGTCGTTCCACCACTGCTCTCAGAGTTTTCAAGCACAGGCGCTTCGCGACCATCAAGCGTTGAAACCGCAGCCGGACCAGGGCCCAACACTTGGAAAATTGGCAAAATTGACAAGGGAAGTATACTCGAAGGCGTCCGAAGCACTGTGACCTCTGTATTAGGTACCGAGCTGCATGAGGATGCATCGCTGATGGAATCAGGGTTGGACTCGCTGGGATCTGTAGAGTTGCGTAATGCGCTTTCGAGGCATTTCGGAATTGAATTCCCAGCGACTTTGACGTTTGACTACCCGTCAGTCAGTCTCCTTTCCGAGTACGTTGCATCCTGCGTCGATCCAATTGAAGCTACGCACAACGCACAGGCGCCAGCGGGAGGCGTGACCCACGTGCGTGAAGGTGCTCACATGATCGCCCTAACAGGAATCTCAACCCGCTACGCAAACATTGACGACCTCGAAGGGTTGCATCGGTGCCTTGCTGATTCCCCTGAGCTTCACACAGTCGGGCCCCATTCGAGATGGGATTGCAACGTGATGTACGGGTCTGCGGACGAAATCCCGGCGGTTGCGACAAATTTTGGCACGTTTGTTGACACCGCTTTCCATTTCGACCCCGATGTATTCGGCATTTCTCGCCGGGAGAGCGCTGCCATGGACCCGCAGCAGCGCATCCTGCTCGAGGAGACCTTAACGGCACTGCATGCCAGAGGCGGCGACATTCGCTCCCTGACGGGCAGCCAAACGGGTGTGTTCGTTGGTTGCATATTCCTGGAATATGCGGATATGCTGCGGAAGTACGGCCACGGGGCAGGGTCGAACATCGTAACGGGGAACGGCATCGCTTTCATGGCCGGGAGGATTTCGTACACCTTTGGATTCCAGGGCCCCTGCGTTCCGACAAACACGGCGTGCTCCTCCTCGCTGGTGGCTGCCCACATGGCCGCCAGAAGCGTCCAGGACAGCGATTCAAGCATGGCGTTGGCCGCGGGCGCGAACGCAATTCTCATGCCGGAGGGGGCAACGGCGGCCATGACGAATGTGCGTGCATTGGCGCCGGATGGAAGATGCAAGGCATTTGCCTCAGATGCGGACGGGTACGGCCGCGGGGAAGGCTTCACGGTGGCAGTTCTAGAACGCAAGGCGCCTGACGAATGCAGCTGCGGTGGCTTGCTTGCCGTACTTGGTGGAACTGCAGTCAATCAGGATGGTCGTTCGAGCGGACTGACGGCGCCGCACGGGCCTTCACAGCAAGCTCTGGTCAGCCAGGCCAAGGCAGAGGCGGGGATCGACACACTAGAGTACGTGGCCAGCCATGGGACGGGGACGCCTCTGGGCGATCCAATCGAAACGGGCGCATTGGGAAAAGCGGTTGTGGGTGGGTCGCAAGCACCGGATGCCGTGTTCACCATGGGGGCTGTCAAGACGCTGCTTGGACACACGGAAGGCAATGCAGGGTTGGCGGGCGTGCTCCTGGCGCTGGAGCCGCTGCTGCAATCTTCCGCGCACCCTTTGAGGTACCGAAGCATGAATCCCTACGTCGCTAATTCCCTTGCAACTTGGAACGTTGCATCAAGGTTACCTATCCAGAGGTCCAGCTGCCCGTGCGCGCATGCGGGCACGAGCTCATTTGGAATGAGCGGCGTTAATGCACACGCAATATTGAGGAATGTTGGAGATAGGGAGCCACAGCATGGGCACTTGTTATGCTGGAAGCGCCACGATTTGATGCCTGACATGGCACCAGCCGGCCACATGCTCGTTTCTCACTCCCTTTCCGCTCCCCAGCACACGATCGTGTCGTTCATGCTCCAGCTTAACAACCCAAGACTCGGCTATCTGCGGGACCACCAAGTGCAAGGAAAACCCATATTCCCGGGAGCTGGATACCTTGAAATGGCAACAGCAGTTTTGAAGACGCTAGGACCTAGCTGCGGAGGAACAGGAGTCTCAAACGCATCCATCGCTTCACCTTTCATGTTAGATGAAAATCCAAGTGACGTTGGCCAGACAAAGGTGCTCTTCGCAGACGTGAGACTAGATTCGGGTCTGATGACAATTAGATCAAATGGGAAATCTAGAGCAGCTGTTCATTTTCAAGGCTATGTAGCCGTGCTTCTGGAGAATGGCGAAGGTCGCGCCAGCCAAGGATCTTTTTCTGCTGTCAGTGGGGATCTCACTGTCGATGCCTTGAGAGCCCAATGCAGAATTCCGCTAGAGCCAGCGGCTTTCTATCGCCGGATGAAGCAGTCTGATCTGAATTATGGCAAATCGTTTCGGCTTTTGGACAACATTAGCAGCAACGCGGACAGCCTGGCGCGAGCCCGTATCGACGGCAGATCGGATGCAAGTTCAGGATATTGGATTCATCCAAGCGTTCTGGACTGCTGCTTGCAACTCGGGGCCGTCATAAAGGAATCCAATTTGGGGAATATATCCGAAGGAGCATTCGTTCCCGCTGCTCTGCAGTTCTACTATGTGGAGAACCGTGCAGGGGACAACGTTGTCTACAACATGGCATCCAAGCCGCCATCGACGCCGCTCCAGAAATCCACATTCAGAGACCACACGCTAGTGAATTCCAGCAGCCAACAGATTTTCATTCTCAGAGGACTTGAAGCCAGAAGAATGGATGCGCAGGCTAGAGCCAGCGGGCGAGAACAGCACTCTAACAAAAGATATCATGAAGATATTATATACGAGGTTCAGTGGTTTGCATTTTCCCCATGGGGTGTTACTGCCATGCCGATGGGATCCAGATCGCTCCATTTCACGTCTGATCGTGACGCCATTAGCCTGGCAGGATCATCTGTAGCGGTCTTACAAGCTCTCCATGGAAAACCCGCCAAGGCCTTGCATCTCGAGACATGTGGAGGGTACGGGGCGCCACCGTCTCCAACAGCACGGCTGAACTATCAGCAGGCCTGCCTGTGGGGAATCCATAGAACGGTTTCTCAGGAGGTGTCCGACTTCTACTGCGGCGGCGTGGACCACCAAAAGGAGCACGGCTCCTTCCCGGGCCAGGCACTCCTGAGGGTATCGGAGGCCTCTGCACAGACCCCTACGGATGGATACGGCACTTGCCCCAGAGACGGATCCGGCTATGTCGCTCGCCTCATGCAGTGCCCCATAAGGCCTCACCCTCCGCCGTACCAGCTTGCTCCTAGGCCTCGGGGCTCGCTGAATAGCCTGGTGGCCATGCCAGTAAGCCCATCAGCACCAGGCATGACCGGCTTGGTTCTTGTCAACGTCAAGGCCGTCGGCATCAATTTCCGCGATGTCCTAAACGTGTTGGGAATGTACCCGGGGGACCCGGGCCCTCCAGGAGGGGACTGCGCAGGTTTGGTGTCGGCCAGCGCCGAAGGTGCTCCAGTGGAAGCCGGGGATGCCGTGTTTGGACTGGCTGCCGGGAGCCTGGGATCTCACGTGTGGGCGTCTGCTCAAACCATGGTCCCGATGCCACCCAACATGACGTTTGAGGAAGCCGCCACCGCGCCCACTGTTTTCATCACGGTGGACGCAGCCCTTTCCAAGGCTGCGGGTTCCGGTATCGGAGACACCATCCTTGTCCACGCCGCGGCTGGGGGCGTTGGCCTGGCAGCAATGCAAGTTTGCCGCGCCCGTGGCTATGTGGCATGTGCAACAGCCGGAAGCTCGACCAAGCGGGCTGCACTGAGATCCACTGATGTGCAGCAAGTAATGAACTCGAGGGATGTGCAGTTCGCTGGCTCGTCCCATCGTCCCGAAGGATTTGATGTCGTCCTGAACACATTGACGTCTCCTGGTGTCGTGGCTGCTTCGTTGTCCGCACTGAAGAAAGGGGGAAGGTTCGTAGAGATCTCCAAAAGAGACATCTGGAGCCATGGCCGCTTCATGCAGGAACGACCAGACGCATCGCACCACCTGGTGGCTGTGGATTTCATGTCGGAGACTGCAGTGCACGAGGCGTTGAAGAAAATCTCTTCCATGCTGTCAGCAGGACGCGTCGCACCCCTGAATTGCATAGCGCACGACATTGGCAGCGTCTCCACCGCGCTCAGGCAAATTTCGCAGGCAAGACACATCGGAAAGGTGGTTGTGAGGTCTCGGTCCATTCCAGAAGCGGGGCTGGATAGTTCAGGGTGCGTTGTTGTGACGGGAGGGACGGGAATGATTGGGTCATTGGTCACGGAGTGCCTGTCTCAGAACTCCGTTCGCCATTTCTCTCTCACCAGCCGGACAGGCAGGCTGACGTCGGGCATCGCAGCGATTCTGCGCACTGGAAAATCGGCGCAAGTGTCTTCCATCACCGTATCGAACTGCAACGCAACTTTGAAAGACGAGATGGACGTCTGCACGCGCAATTGCTCCCTCGAAATAAAGGGCATCATGCACGCGGGAGGCGTGCTTTCGGACGCAACTCTCATGAACCAGACCGCGAAAGGCATCCGAAGAGTTTTCGCACCAAAGGTTGACGGCGCCGTGGTCGTCGGCAACGCGATGGAGCTCCATCCATCCATTTCAAACGTACTGTTCTCGTCTGTGGCTTCGCTGCTTGGAGGACCGGGCCAAACCAACTACAGCGCGGCGAATGCCACAATGGATGCAATGTCCCGTCAGTGGAAGGATCAGGGGCGTTCTGTCCTGAGCATTCAATGGGGTGCGTGGGCGGGTGCCGGCATGGCCTCGCAGGCAGCAGCGACAGCATCCAGAGCCGAAATGACTGGAATGAATCTCTTGAATCCCGAATCTGCACTGGCGGCCCTGCGAGAGCTGATCCTCGCCGGGGCTTGTGCGAATTCGAGCGTTCCCGCACAGGTTGCTGTGAACCAATTCTCCTGGGAGAAATTCTTGCGGAGGCTGCAACCACGGGTGCCGGACTTCTTCAGCAGCCATGCGCCAAGCGTGGCGAGCGTCAGCTGGACAGCTCCCAGCGCAAGAGATGCGGCCTCCGGGCAATTATCCCTGGCCGTGGATTCTCGCGAACGGCGGCACCAGCTGCGCGGTATCGTGCAGAGAGCGGCTCGCTCGGTGCTGGGATCAGAAGTGTCTTCGGACGAGCCACTGATGGCCGCAGGCCTGGATTCGTTGGGAGGGGTGGAGTTCACGAGCACCCTGCAGTCGCAGATTGGCTTCGAGCTGCCCGCCACTCTGATTTTCGATTATCCCACTGTCGATGCAATAGCCGACTTCCTGGACAGCCACTACGCCAGTTCTGAAGAGCCCTCCGCCCATCGACCGAGAACTGCGGACGTTTCCAGACGCCGGGTCCAATCACAGGTCGTGGCGATTGTGGGATGCTCCTCCAGATCTCCTCAGGCTGCCGTCTCGCGGCTCGCGTGCTTGGACGCCATTTCCTTGATTCCGCACGACCATTGGAACGTTGACGATCCCACGCATGCGCAAATTGCTCCGAGGTTTGGAGGCTTCTTGGAGGGCATCGACATGTTCGACCGCACCTTCTTCGGCGTCGCGCTCCACGAGGCGGAGTACATGGACGCTCAGCAGAGGTTGCTGCTGGAAGTGGCACAGGAATCGCTTTCTCAGGCGGGCCGCGTGCCTGTCAATTCGTCCGTGGGCGTCGGAATTGCCAGCGCCGAGTACAACAACTGGGTCATTCGGCGCGCCCGCCTCCCGACAAGCGCATACAGCGCCACAGGAGGCGCGCTGAGCGTTGCCAGTGGTCGCCTGGCGTACACGTATGGGTTCAAAGGCCCTACGCTCAGTGTGGACACTGCTTGCTCTTCTTCTCTGGTGGCTGCTCACATAGTGTTTGGGACCATGGTGAATGGCGTTGCCGAGGGAGGCGTTGTGGCGGGTGCCGGCCTGCTGCTCTCGCCGGAGCCCATGGCGATGTTCCAAAAGGCCGGAATGCTTGCCCCAGACGGCCGCTGCAAGACTCTGAGCAGGGAAGCGGACGGTTACGTGAGAAGCGAAGCCTGCGGTGCTCTCATCATGAGACTGCAAAATGTGGATGACGCAAAGGGGACAGAAATCATGGCCCAGGCAGTGTTGATGGGGTCCGCTGTGAATCAGGACGGACGGTCGAGTTCGCTGACAGCGCCCAATGGGCCCTCTCAACAAGAAACCATGCGGGAGGCGTTGGAGGCATCGGAAGCGAGCGCCGGCCAGATCACATCTCTGCAGCTCCACGGCACTGGGACGAGCCTTGGTGACCCGATAGAAATGGGAGCAGCGGCAGCGGTGCTGGCAGTGAAGTCAGACAGGCAGAGGGCCCTGCTGGGCGTCTCCTCAAAATCTTGGATCGGCCACACTGAAGCCGCAGCGGGGGTTATGGGCCTCACACATGCGCTGGCTGGACTGTCGCAACGTGCAGTTCAACCCATCATGCATTTGGCCACCATTTCATCTCATGTCACCGCTTCCATCAAAAGCAATTCTGGGACAGATTGGACTTTTGCAAGGGCGCAGGGAGGGCTTACTACAGGGAATTATGGCAATGAATGCCTGACAGGTGTGTC